CTTAGCCCGCTCCCCCCATTCCCTGGTAACCATCAAAGGAAAAAAAAAATACATGGATCAAATGCATCACACTGCTGCCCACCAGGTTTAACTCCTGCCCTGCACAGTCATGGAAAGAGAAACGGATTGAACAAGGAGTCTGCCAGAGGCCGTGATCATAGCAGAAGAGTGAATTACCTCACAATGTGGAAGCAATATCACTCATGTAATCTGACCTTGTAATAAAGGTCACTGGCGGGGGAGGCATAGAGTGATAACCAGCTCCTACTGTGTTTCACCTGATAGAGAAGTTGGGACCAACCTGAGATACAGCAGAAAGGTTAGAAATTAGATTAATTAGATTAGAAATCAGAATCCGAGGATTTTGCGGCATCAAAGTAGTTTACCTTGGGTCACCTCCTTTCCAGATTCTTAAGAATGATGAATTCCCTCCACATTTATGAGTAAAGGTTAATCCCATTTCTTATAAAGACAGTTTGATTCCCCTGTTCTTTTCTGAAAATGTTGTAAATATCATATGGCATGCCTTCTAGGAGCAGTTTTCTAGGAACCCTTTCCTAAGATGTCTTTTGAATCACCTCCTCCTTGGGACCAGGGAATATACAATCATGAATTGTGAATAATTAGACTCATCTACCCAAATCACTTTATCACAGTGAAATTTCCCTCTTTGGAAATTTTCACCAGTTTGACTCTTACTGGGTCCATTCAGCTGCCTCAAGAGGAGGTCCTTGCTCAGTTAAGGATGGGGACAAAATGAGGAGAAGAGGACTGAATTAGGGCAAGAGGGCTGGCTTCTCAGCTGTTCCTCCTGGACCCTGGCTGCCTCCCAGGGTCCCTCACTGGAAGAATGGCCTTCTGATGGGGCTCATCCTTTGTTCCAGTGTGTATCATGGAAGGCTATGACATTCTGATTTAGAATTAGAAGACTTGTGTTTGTGACTTGCCTCTTACTATCTGTGTGCTCCTGGGCAATTGTTTAACCTCTAGGAACCTCACTGATAAAATGAAAATAATATTTACTTCTGTGGTTCTTAACCAACTCAAAACATGAAAGGTTTATAAACCACAAATCTCCAACATGGACATAGGTCAGATTGCTTTTGGCCATTGCTACTAAAAATACCTATCTTTAATCACCAAGGGGTTGTGGCAGAGGTAAACATTCATACAAAAAAAGAAAAAAAAAAAGAAAATCATATCTCAGAAGATAGAATGGTCATTGGGAAGTGGCAGCCCAGCCAGAACTATATTTCCTATCTCCTTTGCATTTGACTGGGTTGAAGTGAGTAACCTTTACCAAAGGAATACGAGCAAAAGTGATGAGTACCACTTCAGAGCCAAGGCATGAGAAATGTGCCTCCTTCTCTAATTTCTTTTCCACCTACCACCCGAGGAGGAGGACTACAAAGCCTCTGAGACTGGCAGCATTGAAAAATGGGAGAAAACTGAGTTCCTGAGTCCTTGCCTGGAAGAAAGCCAACTACTGACTGGGACCATTCTCGCTGGATTATTATGTGAGTGAGAAATGCTAAAACGTTTTGTTAAGCCCTGACATCCTGGGGTTTCTTTATTACAGCAGCTAAGATTTCTCTAAGTAATAAATGAATCAAGGGGATGGGAATGCTATAGCTCCGCCAGGAAAAAGTGCTGAAAATGCCATGTGCCTAATGCTGGCTGTGTCTTTTCCACACTAGTACACAGGCCAATGGAGCCAAGGGATGGTAAAAGGACATCTGCTATGCTCCATCAGATGAGGTCAGTGGACAGTTTAATCACACAAACACACAGAGATGCATCATATATATATGTGTATATATATATATATATATATGTATGTATGTATATTCTAGAATCCCAGTGTTAAAGCTAGAAGTAACGAGCTTCAGAGGCCATATATTAAAACTTTTTGTGTGGCTCAGGAGATGGAGGAAGGTGGACTGGCTCAAGTGCTTAGAGCTATTCAGTGGTGGCATCTTAACTAGTACCAAGTCCTCAGAACTGGTTCAACCAGGTCTATACAGTTCAACTCAGCTTCTCTCTTGACAAAGTCTAACATCTGGATAACCCAGAAATGACTCACAAAAGGGGAGAGATGGAGACAAATGGATTTTATGATTCTGCATCTACCGTTTCATCGGCTAACAGGCATTTCTCACTGTCAAGTTTGTGGCTGGCAAAAAAAAATGACCAAGCCTTGTTGCCAAACCCTTTGCCCAGACTGCTTTTTTTGTGTTCTTGTGAGTCCTTTTAAACGCTATCCTCTAGCCACGACAACTATTGCTAATCCATGACTCTGCCAGGCCCTGATTCACCCCGTGCCTTCAAGCATGCTGTTTCTTCTTGAGTGTTCTTCATCACCAACCCCCTCACCAAGATAACTCACTATTCTTCTTCCGAGATTTTACCCACCTCTTCCATTTCCTGTGAAGTCTTCTCCCGTTCTTGCAGGCTGATTCAGTGTTTCTTCCCATCGTGTCCTTGTGGTCCTCTGTCTATGACACCTTTTGACCACTCATGGCACAGAACTGTAGTTTTTATTCCCACCTTGATGGCTCATATGCATCAGAGCCTTCTTCCCGTCCGTTAACTTTTTGGAAAGGGTGACAGTACATACAAGGTGGTCGCCACCCTCCTCTTCTTCCCTGAGTTGTTCAGACCAGGAGTGGACACCTGACAAAGTAACCAGGCCACAGGTACCCCTGCCACCTTGACAGAGCCTTCTACAAAGGATTCTGCCTTTGGGGAATGGCCCCTTTTGATGAAAAATTGGCCCCATTTCCTCCATTGAGAATTTGCATTCAGACTTTAAAAGAGATGTTCCAGGTTGTTGTAGGGAAGAGTTGTGAGGCCATGGTAGTGTTTCAGGGCCATGCCAGACCACGTACAAGATGAGCAAAGCAAGAGCACATTGGGAGAGGGAGGAGGTAGATAGGCTTGTGAGGGAGAAGGAACAAGGATGAGGGACACGCTGTGATTTTGGGGACACGGGACATGGCCTCAGTTCCTGAGGGCTTTCAGGTCCCTGTGGCCAGCCGTGCTCCTGCCTTGGGTTCCCCAAGAGGCCCCCACCAGGGCTTCGAAGTAGAGCCCCTCTTCATTTCTTGAATGACTTTAATGGGTTTCTGCTTCTTGTAACCCAAAGAGTCTTGGTTAAAGAAGCTCTACCTCCCACTCGGGACTGTGAGCTTCTTGAGGTCAGAAACTCTATTTTCCTCTTCACTGTAGCACCAGAACATATCTCAAGGCATACAGGGTATTCAAAATAATTTGTTGAAAGAGTCATGAGTAAATGAATGACTGGATGTGCCCATTGGTAATAAACACAGGATGCTGTTGGTCTAGCTGGACTCCCTGACCCAGCAGGCCTTTCTAATACCAAAAGCTCTTTCCCCTTTAATCATCACAGCTCTACCTCTCATGTCCTCCAGCCTCTTAAAATCCAGATTTTGACAGGTGGCATTTCCCTGAAGCTTTTTTTTTTTTTTTTTTTGCTTTAAAATTCCTAGGTTTGGCACATGGGCATCTAAGGAGATGACATGTACAAACAGGAGATACAAATAGGAGATGACACTTTCACCTCAACCACTACAGCCCCAGAAGGAACCCAAGGTGGCCCCCTGGACCTTTTCCTGAAGCAACATTGGGAGAAGCAAGCTGTCTTCAGAGAGATATAAGTATAGCTTTTATTTTTTTTTTTAAAACCAACCCAACATTTCCACTGGCAACTGTCAACATAGCTTATGACATGAACACAGTTTCTTTTTCAGTTATTTGTTTTCTTAAAAAATGTGTTTAAAATTAAACAGGTGTTTTTCATTTCTTCTTTTCCCTTAAAAAATGTATTTATGTCAATGCAGAAAGCCTAAAGATCTGTGGGCAGTCTTTTGGTGATTATATATATGTGTGTGTGTGTGTTTTAAAGCCAGGTTCTTTCAAAATTTGTTGGGAAAAGGTCTGTAGGGCATGGCGATCTCTCTATAAACCCAGGCTCCATGGAATTATGGCAGCTAAGATTCCTCCTACTGGGGCAAGAAATAGCCCACAGGTTGGAAAAAGAGCTTCAAGAGGTTTAAAACCAAGCAGGAATGTGGGAGAGATGAGGAATTCCAATCCCTGTCCTGTGAAAATCTTTTCAAACATGACCCAAGAGTCCAGGAGACGTGAAGCCCTCATTTTCTTATAAACTTCTAAGTTTTTGCAGGAAATCAAGAAATAGAGTCAAAGCTCTTAGTCTGGTGCACTAGGAAGTGAGGGAGTGGTGAAGCTGACATCTCTCAGAATCACTGACATTTTCAATAGAATCTTTTCCCTACAGATCCCACTAGGTGGACATCACTTCTCTCCTGCTTCAGATGCAAAGCCAGAGATGTTCTAGAAGGCATATAGCCCTTCTGCTTTCCTAGCTGCCCCCTGTCATCATATTCTATTTCTATTTTTGTCCCTTAGCTCCTGCTTGGTGGGTCTTCTTGCAGAGGGGTAAACATCCAGACACTGATGCAATGAGACAGACAGAATCTGAAAGGCTTGGGCAGGGAAGAGAACAAGGACTTCTTGTTGTAAACTGGATCTTGACAGAAGCTTGAGATAAAGCTGTTCCTGCTCCAGCCACAGTCTCCATTCTTACTGCCTTCACGGATGTGTGAACTCACCACCACCCAGACAGCACAGTCCATTCAAGAAGGCAGAAGAGAAAAGGAGAAAGGGAACAGGAACTCGATGGAGCAGGAGACAGCGGTTACCCAGGGAGAGTCGGGGAAAGGGTGTGTCTGAAAGTTCAGGCCTCTCCCTGTCGGCTCAGACCTTGAGCTCCTTCGCAGCACCGTCGTCACTAACCTCAGAGAGAAAAGACAAGGTGGACACAGAAACGATGAGTAAAACCTGGTGGGAAAACGAAAGCAACCATGATACTGACGATGATGAACAGAGACCCCCGAGCCAGCCACGGGGACAGGACTCATTTTCACGCCTCGCGGGCAGAGTGAGAGGATGGTGATGTGTCAAACTGGACAGACAGGAGAAACCCTGTCCCCCCGCCGAGGAAAGTTAGAAAGCCAAGGAATAGTCAGAAGAAGGTGGAAGAGAAGGTGGCGAGAGGGTCTGACTTTGCTATGGGTCAGGGACACGGCGGGAAGACAGGCTGGAGGTGGATCTGTTGCTGTCGTTGGTGTGGACTGAATTAAATATTTTGCCAAGTGGGTGTTTTGTCTGTTCCACTGGACGGATGGACTCTGCCCTTTCAGTTCACTGCCGGGGCCCAGTCCGGTGATGCTCTGCGGCTCGGGTCCTGAGGCTGCCTCTCTGGGCTGTGGCTCACCCCCAGAGGCCATGGGTGGGGACGCGCGCTTCTCTGGGGAGAGGCTGCAGGCCTGCCCGGCCGGAGGCCTGGTTCTGTGGCTCAGAACCCCTTGATGTAGCAGTAGGCCTCCAGCGTGGCGAAGAGTATGTACAGAAGCCACAGGCTCACAAAGAGCCAAGCTGTGGCCAGCTTGCAGCCGCGAGGGCCGCCCAGCTCCCCGCCCAGGCGGGGCCGCCGGCGGTACAAGAGCACGCTGACGCACACGAACGCGAAGATGGTGAAGAGGGTGACGGAGAAGGCCAGCGTGCCGGCCGACACGTGAAACTCCTGTCCCTGCAGGGCCCAGTAGATGGCGGCCACGGACCAGGCCAGGCCGATGCCCAAGAAGACGTTGACGGCGTTGCTGCCCGTGACGTTGCCGATGGAGGCGTCTGCGTACACGTCCTGGATGGCAGCCGCTTTGCTGGCAAACGTATCTGGAAAGAGGCAGAGACAGTGAGAGCCGGCGGGGAGGTTGAGATGGGAGGGCCTTCCGTGGAGAGGGGCCGAAAGGCGGCCGGGTGGGCAGGCTGAGCCTTGGGAGTGAGAGGCAGGGGCCTGGGGGCTACTCCCTGCTCCACTGTTAATAAACTGTGTGGCCTTGGGCTGGTCACCTTACTTTTCTGGGCTTCTGTTCCTAATCTGCCTGAGCCTGAAAGGTTCCCAAGGGTCCTTCTGGTCCTGATATTTACTGAGTGGCTTTTACGGTTCCCTTCTGACTACTTCTGTAAGGGGGGTGTGCTTTCCCGTAATTTCCCAGGGAACTCTGACATCCAGGGAAGCTGCTTAGAATACGTGCCTGATTTCCCCTGTCACGTGGGATATTTACGTTCAAAACAGACTGTGATTGAGCCCGTGGGCTTAGCATTGTGCTAAGGGCTGGATTTATGGGGACAGAGGACACAGGGGGAGATGTAGGGACTAATGATGGGGAGATCCTTGGGCTCAAGAATGACAGGGCTCAGGATTCGCAGTCTGCATACAGAGCACAGGGCCTCGAAGGCTACTGGACTTCAGAGGTTGGTATGGATTGTAGGCACTGGAAGGATGGACAGCCACCCTTTTATTTGACAAGTTGGGAAAAATAAGGGTCAAGGAATTTACTCAAGGTAAGTTAGCAAGAGATTTGACCTGAAAACCCTCATCTGAGAGCCGTTTCCATAGCTTAACCCGACATCCAAACAGCTTCAGCCAAAGCCACAAATCAGCTGAGTGGACCACAGCATCACCTTCAAGCCCCTAATGCAGCCAGCTGTTCTCTGCACCCACTGCAAGGTCTTGGACAAGCCCCAAGCTCTCCCTTGTCCAGCCTGCCTCCTCATTGCCAATACTGTCCCCAAGAAAACCTCTTGTCTTTTCTTGCCTGTGACCTTGCCTTCTTATTTTTTTAACTTCTGATCCTCTGCAACTTCTTCCCACCTCTGTTCCTTTTACCCATATCTGCTCCTTCCCCTCTGATAGTTCCTCGAGGCCCCAGAGAACAGAGGTAAATCACAGAGTATCTCTCCCACAAAGCCTTCCCTCAATTATCCATTTAATTTCCTACCACTCCATGCAGTCCCATGATAGCCAAACCTTTTGCATCATTAATGTACAAATAATTCCACTGCTCTGTGCTGGGGTCTGGGGAAGTGGCTTCTCCAGAGTGTGATGCAGACTCAGTTACTCTCCAGAAGGATATGCTTTCTTGGCACAAGAAGGGTTTCCAGCCAGCAGAGTCCTGTCTGATGAGATTTGGCCCAGCCTTTCCATAGAAAGGGGCTGTCTCTGTCTTCCTACTGCAATTGGGAGGCCAGCTCCTTGGTAGGAATTTGGGGTTCAGACACTCTGGAGACCCCATCTGAACTAAGTAAGGAACTTGAGCTAATGTAGCCCCTCTCTACCTGCTTACCCCTGCTTGCCTTCTCAGCCCAGCTGAGGTCCCCCTTGTCCATACTTGCACAGTGCCTGTACATTTTCGTCATCAAACTTACTGAGATGATTTGAATGATCATAGTTGAATGTGGTCTCCTTCATTAGATTATAAACTTCACTTGGAGAGGAAAGTTAAGTGTGTTTCCCATTACACTCCCGGCAACCAGCACAAAACTGTATCAGGCTCAGTAAACATTTGTCTAACAAATGAATAAAGGCATGTCTGTCCCTATTCATCTCTAGGTGTTTATGAGAAAAAAAAATGTGATTCATAATATGAAAGACAAGAGCCCGTGAAGCTTCCTTCACCTGTCCTGCTTGGAGACAGTTGGTATTTACAGGTGTCCTAAGCAGAGCAGGCTTGCGGGCGTTTCTTCTGCACGTCTCCAAGCAGGCTAATCTGCAGCCAGAGGGACATGGCCTACTTGTCTGATGCGGAGGTTAAGAAAGTGGGTCACCGAGTTCAGCAAGTGATTTAACCTCTCTGGGCCTCAGTTTCCTCATCTGTCAAGTGGGGATAATAACTCTCCTTATTGAATAAGGGTTGGGTGAGGGTTACAGGGCTAAAACAGGTAAGTTGCTTAGCATACATACCACCTGACACATCAGAAGTGCTCAAGAAATGTTAATGATCATTCTTAATGGTAGCAGGGGTCCCTTGGGTTGACCTTCATGCACCTTAGAGGTAGAGGCTCTGTTAAGCTCATATCTGAGATGGTAGGGAAGATAATGAGGCAAATTGGAGGGCTCACTTGAACTAGGTAATGTCCCCTTTGCAAATCCAAGCCCCCCCTCACTCTCACCTGGCACCGAGGTGCCAAATGCCACAAAAATAACAGCTGTGACTGAGTCCTTGAGGCCAATGGTGCAGCCAAAGTGGGAGGCCAGGTCCCCGATGATGGCGGTGAGCATGCCGATGATGAGAATGGAGACAACGAAGCAGGCCCAGCCGTGGCAGTACTCTGTGGGGGGCACGCAGGCAAACAGCACCTTCCAGAAGACCGTGAGGAAGTGCATGACGTAGTCAAAGCAGGAAGGCAGCCTCTCCTCGCCCGACTCATCCTCATCCTCGTCCCCTGCTGAAGGCAAGACAAGCGGGCAGCGGGGTCAGATCCTCATTCATGAGAAAGTCAAGTCCAATCCACATCAGGAGCATCACTGGCCGCACGGAGACACCAGCTGTCTCCTTGGCAGCTGGTGCAGGCACCCGAAAACAGGAGGGAAAGAGAAAACACATCAGGATGCCCCCCTAGTCAATTTGAATGCAGGGAGAGTGAGAGAGTGGGAGAGAGGAAACAGTAAGAAAGAAGAGAAAGAGATAGAATGTGGGAATGTGAAAAGGACAGGGCAGTGGAGAAGAGAGGGAGGAAGAAGGAGAAGGCATGGGGTTCCTTAGGTGAAGAAAAGCGAGAGCCCACTCTTCACTGGATACCCATGGGGCTCCTATTTTTCCTGACATGACTGCTGCAATACCCACATGGTTCTGGTCATTATCCATCCACAGTGAGGCACCTGTCACTCCAGATCATGTGAGCATCCCGGGGAGTCAATTGTTGTTCAGCCACTAACTCAAGTCTGACCCCATGGACTGCAGCACGCCAGGCTTCCCTGTCCTTCACTATCTCCTGGAGTTTGCTCAAACTCATTTCCATTGAGTCGGTGATGCCATCAACCATATAATCCTCTGTGATCCCCTTCTGCTTCTGCCTTCAATCTTTTCCAGCATCAGGGTCTTTTCCAATGAGTCTGCTCTTCAAATCAGGTGGCCAAAGTATTGGAGCTTCAGCTTTGGTTTCAGTCCTTCCAATGAATATTCAGGGTTGATTTCTTTTAGGACTGACTGGTTGGATCTCCTTGCAGTCCAAGGAACTCTCAAGAGTCTTCTCCAACACCACAGTTCAAAAACATCAACTCTTTAGCGCTCGGTCTTCTTTATGGCCCAATGCTCACATCCATATTTGACTACTTAGAAAAACCATAACTTTGACTATACGGACCTTTGTTGACAAAGCAGTGTCTCTGCTTTTTAATATGCTGTTTAGGTTGGTCATAGCTTTCCTTCCAAGAAACAAGTGTCTTTTAGTTTCATGGCTGCAGTCACCACCTGCAGTGATTTTGGAGACCAAGGGAAAAAAAATCTGTCACTGTTTCCACTGTTTCCCCATCTATTTGCCATGAAGTGATGGGACCGGATGCCATGATCTTCATTTTCTGAATGTTGAGCTTTAAGCCAGCTTTTTCACTCTTCTCTTTCACCTTCATCAAGAGGCGCTTTAGTTCCTCTTCGCTTTCTGCCATAAGGGTGGTGTCATCTGCATATCGGAGGTTACTGATATTTCTCCCGGCAATCTCGACTCCAGCTTGTGCTTCATCCAGCTTCTTGCATGATGTGCTCTGCATATAAGGTAAATAAGCAGGCTGACAGTATACAGCTGCGACGTACTCCTTCCCCGGTTTGGAACCGGTCCTTGGTTCTATGTCCGGTTCTAACTGCTGCTTCTTGACTCGCGCACAGGTTCGCCATTCTCCAAACATCCTATGGGACGGAGCCAGGCTGGTCCTGGTTTGTCCTTGCCAGGAAACGCGGGCAGAGTTGCCCATCCCGCAGTCCGGGAGGAGAGGGTGCGCTGCAGCTCCATCAAGGGCAGGCGCTCTCATGTTTCGACATGACCTGCAGAAGCAGGATTCCAGGCACTTGGGCTCCAATTGCATCTTTGCCATGAAGAGAATCTGGAACCTGGCATCAATCCCTTTTTCTTCCCGAACCTCTTTCTTTCCGTTCCCTCATTTGAAAAAGGAGGGCTTTAGATTATGTGGCTGATAGTCTGCTCACTGTCTCTTTGGGGGCAAAGTAAGGTCATGAGAGGGGGAGTCTGGAAGCAGGGGATAGAAAAAGTGGGGCAGTGAACACTGCAGCAGTGGCCCTCTCTTCCTGTCTGTACTTTGGCTGTGGTGCTGGGACCTCAGGGATGTGACCGGTGGGTTGCTATGACAACAAAGCTTCATGGAAAGAGACAAGGCCCCGAGTGCTGGCCAGCACAGAAGGCCTCTGTGGTGCTGAGAGGCACTTCTGCTGGGGGTGATGAGACCCCTCCCTCCCCAGGCCAACCTGCATGTAGCCTCCGGCATGCTGGCTGTACTATGGGTCCCCACTGAGGAAACCTGTCACTAAGTGCCAAGGAGAGGTCTGGTATCATCCAGGGCAGAGGTCTGTCAGTCAATGCAAAGTTTTTAAAAACCTCAGACCCGCACATCTCTAAATCAGAATAGTCTCCCACTTTACAGAAAAGGAGGACTGCCTTAACAAGATGATGGAATGATGAAAACCAGAATTTCTTAAGTTTCTATTTAGTACCAGACTCTGTAGCTTTCTACTCTCTTCGCTGAGAAAGAAGGGTAGCAATAGTTCCTTTTTTGGGTGACAAAACTGAAACACGGGGAGGATAGCTTGTCTCAGTTCACATAGCATGCATGTGTGCTCAATCGTGTCCAACTCTTTGTGACCCCATGGACTGTAGCCCACCAGGCTCCTCTGTCCATAAGATTTTTCAGGCAGGAATACTGGAGTGGGCTGCCATTTCCTTCTCCAGGGGATTTTCCTGACCCAGGGATTGAACTTGCATCTCTGGCATCTGCTGCATTGGCAGGTAGATTCTTTACCACTAATGTCCCGTGCGAAGCTCTTCACACAGCAGAACCAGGGTCTGAAAGCAGAGATAGCCATGCTCTTTTAGTCACCCCCACAGTTGTCTTCCAAAGTGACCCAGTGAAAAGACAAACATCTGGGGTAAGAGCTGGGAAGGCTGGCCACTAAGGCCCTTCCTGAGATGGGTGAGCTGTTGACATGTCTGTGTTCCTGCTTCTCTGGAGATTCCTGCTCCTCCCAGCAAAGCCTGTGTCCATCTCGAGACCCTCTTACCTGCACTGACAGTGATGGCCTCCATGAACTGGTCCCTCCAGGAATGGGTCCCCACGACCAAGGCCAGGTTTGTCTTCCTAATCAGCTTGTCCACGGTAGTCTGTCAGGGAGATTAAAACTTGGAACCATGAGGTCAGAATGCTCAGAACCATTGAAGAATTTGGAACTTCGTGGGGATGAAAGATACCCTGCACTCCAGGGGGCTCCACATGGGTTCTGAAAGTTATGCATGAAATGGCCTCAGGGGGCATCTTCTGGCATAGTCCTTCTACTGTCCTCTTCTTTGGCTGTGACTGCTGACATTGGATATTTAAAGCAATACAATAGAGAATAACACTAATGATGTCAGTAAACCTAGACCTGGGGTAGTGAATTTCAGTATCTTTGTTTTAAAAATACAATTAAATAGTGATGATACTTCAGGGGTATTACAGCTCATTTGTTCCATAGGCCCTGTAACAAGGGCCTATGTTATAAATGACCAGCACTGTTTGTTCCATGTTACAAATGGGAAAACTGAGACTGGGATGGGTAAGTGATTTGTCCAGTTTCAACTTTATGTATTCAGTGGTGACGTTAGAACAAAACTCCAGGCCTTTTACCTCCCACCTCATTATTCTATTACTCAGTTACATCTCACTTATGGCCTGACCTTGAACTCATAGGACTCTTCAATGATGACCTCTAGTTTGGGGTGTTCACCCAATACTGGCTTTCCCATTTCTGCTATCCTCTTGGCCTCCTCTTCTTCCACAGTCAGCTTCCTGTCTGTCACCTCTGCAACAAAACAAAACCAGATGAGCTTTAGCACATTTGCCATTCCCTGGAAGTCTAAATAAAGCTTAAAGTATTAGGCACTGGCAATGAGCATACAGGAAATAGCTATTGAGGAAGGGGTTTTGTGTACTTGTTAGTGCCTCTTTCTATAAGCTGCTAAACAGACCATGAAAGGGTTCCTTGCATGTCTGGGCTTAACATTCCTCTTTCCATTTTATACCTGGCTTGGGGGTGGGGGCAGAAACCTGACCCAAAGATCTTCTCAGAAGCAGCACCAAGTGAAGCCCCAAGACATGTGATGAGATATTGAAGAGCTGGGAACAAAAGCCAAATCTCTTGACCTTTAACAGTTTTGAACTGTTGGGCATGACTGGCATGACTACTTCATATAAAGGTTCCTGGGGGTCAGAAGTAGATTTCAGTCAAAGGGAATGTCCACTAGCTCACATTAACATCTGTCTCCAACATTCTTAGGACTATAAATTCTATAAGGGACAAAGAAGGATGTTTCCAGGAATATCTACATTTTGAACTAGTGAATATTAGCCTCACAATGAGAACTTGGAAGACTTCCCCCCAAATGTCATGATTTCTAAATGAAAGAGCCCTAGGATTTCTAAGGAACCAGGCACATTTCTTCTGAAATACAAATACTTGTTCAAAAACACACAAAAAGAAAGTTCTTCCTTTATTTCTTTCTGGGCATTCCCAGTTTCCCCTCAGTATCTCGACTCATTTATGATCCCTTCTCAAAATGTTGAACAGTTAGAAACTTTTTCCACTTCAGCCGGTGAGTCCATTTTAAGACCACTTCACCATGAAGATGTGTTTTCTAGATTAAAGTGAAACAGAGACTGAATCTTTTTATTCCCCTTTGATTAGAAAATTGCTCTTGGCAGTCTGTTTCTTTCAGAGCTTGTTTAAACATCTTTCCATCCGAGTCCACATTCTTACATGCAATTAATTCTTTTATTTGGCTCTTTAATTGCTTTTATTCCACACAGTGAATCTCCCAGGGGAATTTTCTAGTCCTTGAGTAATCTCAAGGACAAAATGGGTCAGAGGACAAGAAGGTCTTCTTTTCTTTTACCTTGGGAATTGGTGAAGCATGCTGAGGGGTGAGACTTGAGCTCTCGAGGTTGCAAGGAAAATAATTTACTGGAAAGATCGTAAACCAGGCAGAGTGTCTGTTTTTTTTTTCTTCCATTTATTTTTATTAGTTGGAGGCTAATTACTTTACATCAGAGTGTCTGTTTTATATAAGAATTTTTAAAGCTGTTTTGAATGAAGACTGGTAAGAGAGTGTGCAGTGGATTCCTGGGCTGGCTGTTTTACTCAGTGCTGGTTCCAAAGGCAGAAGGCAATCCCAAACCGCTGGGGAGCTGTCCGTGGTGCTGTCCTCCCGCTAGTGTTGGTGACAGTTACTTCTCATGGATCAGTGTCCTCCTGTACATTTCTAAGCATATATCCTCTTGCAGCCTGACTTCATTTAGTCCATAGGAGCTTCTTATTAGGTAATTCTGAAAATAAGTCTGGCTAGGAAGTCAGTGATCCTAGAAGACAGACTGCAAGCCACTTTGACTAAAAGCCTTTGTAAAATATATATATGTAGATTCTTTAAAAGCATGGGCATACTTTTCCTCTACTTGTGGTCTTTAGGACCATATTACAATGCCTATCCTAGTAGTGCCAGTATTATTCTACTCCTCCCTCCCCATTTCCCCCATGTCATACTTTACATGTGCCACAAGAACTTTATCCCAATATAATGAGCTCTCTAGTGACTTATAAATGTACCTGTCTAACCCCTTGTCTGGCTATCAATCTAGCACTGTATCCATCTGGCAGGATATTGATCTAGCTACTGACCTGTCCAGCCCTGTGGTGACAGTCAGTTCTTCCATCTAGCTCTCTGCAGAAATCACTTTGACAAATAACCAATCCTCTATCTTTGGATCTCCCACAGCCCCACAGAGGTACTCTCTCTATATATATCTGTTAATGATTCACATGCCTTTCAACCAATTCTGATTTAGTATCTTGGTTTGGTAGTAATTCCTGCCTTACTTCTGTAATGATCATTTCTTTACATTCAAATTAAGTTAATTTCTTGAGAGGGTGAGAAGTCTCAAACCTTAAAGATCATAATTATTCTGATTTTACTTGTATTATTACTTGTTTATGTAACCTCTCAGTTTTGAGTGTAGAAAATAAATGGTAGGTGACCTTGATATTCAGACTGACGAAACAAACGCTTAGATGTAGGAAAAGCAGGAGGAAGGGGGAAAAGAGAGAATGAACCTATTAATAGGATGGAAGATTAAGCAAATATTGGAAGAGAGAAGAGCTTGCCAGGCCAGACTGGAATAGATTACCATGAATGTTCTACAGACATTCTCAGAAAGAAATGGGGTGGTGTAGTCAGTGCTCTAACTCCCAGGCCCCTGAGCTTGGAGGTATAGCTCAGATTGAACACATTTTCTCCCCGTTTATCACGAGGCAGTGTGAACCACGTTTGCTTGGCCACCTGGAAAAATCCAAACAAGGAGTTGAGATTTCCAGTGAATTTAAAGTCTAACCAAGGGCTCCTAAATTGAAGGTTTACAGACTGAAAGATCTAGGAAATGACACCTTCTTTTCCTGTTTTAGCTTCTACTGGTATCTGTGCCAATGTGCTAAAAGTATAATGAAGCTTAAATTAAATCACAATCTCTGTTTTGAGCATATGTATGTGTGGCTGGTAGTGGGTAGAGGCAAGAGTTGGAACAAAAAAGCCCAAATGCCTTCTCAGGCGAGAAGATGAGATAAGTGGAGAAGGAACACCCAATGCTTTGACATTAAAATCTGGGAGACGAGTGGAATATATGGGGTTGGAGGTAGTCATTATCTTATTGATATAAGAGGAAGGAAGAAACCAAGGAAGCTGAAGTAGTTTTTTCCAGAAAGGGAAAATGTAGGAGTTTATCTAGTTTTTTTTTTTTTTTTTTGGTTTATGACTCCAAGGAGGTCGATGTCCTTACTATGTAACCTGCCCCTTTCTCAAACTCAGTGTACAGCCTATGGTGACTATCAGTGAATTCTGAAAGATGTTTTGCATCTCAAATGACCTTACAATTTTTATACATTCAAAGAACAGATGAAATGTAAAATGTTATTTTAACATATATTGAGACACCTTGTATAGCTCGCTCTGTCTGCACCAAGAGTTATGGTGTTGCCCATATGCCAACAATGCCTTCCTAACTGCTCACAAGTTGGATATTGTCTATGATTTGATTACATGGATGCAAGCATATTTGGTACATTTCCTATGACAGGCTCTAGATTCTGTGTAAGAATATCCCCAATATAAATTCTCCCAAATTTCTATATCCAATCAAATAATTGCCCCCTTACCCCATAATATTCTGATTCTTCTTGTCATTCATGGCACATGTGATTTCAAAGATCAATGACAAATGAACCAAAGTTCTAGAAATTTAGGTCTCTGCTATGATGAGATGGAAGATCTTCAGGATCAATAAAATTCCAGATTCCTTAAAAAATACTTTTCATGTTCTCACAGCAGCTCCTGATTATTTCTCCCTGGACCCCATCCAGATTGAAGTATTTCCTTTCTCATTCCACTATGATCCTATGAGGAGAGTCAGCTCTGACTCTCATCCTCTCTTGCCCCACAACATGAGATGACAGAGGAATTAGACAGGAGAAGTGTATGACCTCCCCTCATTTCTTCAGTAAGTTTCAGTTCTCTTCCTCTCAGAGAGGACCAACTATGCCTTTACCCACATCCACTGAAATGGTGCTCAAGGAATTGTCTACCTCCTCACAATCACTTCCGGTAGGGAAATAAATCTCCTGGTCCTTAGGAGAACTTAAGTTAAGCCCACAGCTCCTAGTAAATACAGCAAAGGATACTGGTCTTAAAGTAAATAACGGCATTGGCAAGAAGCAGAAAAAGGGATGGGGGGGAAGACACCTCTTACCTGGCGATAACAGGAGCGCTGTTTGCAAATTGGTACCAGACAAAGGGAAGAAAGAAAAGGACAGAGCATTAAGGTCCCATCTTGAAAGTGTCCCCAGGTTTTGTGGCTGCAGGAGCACAAGGGAAGCAGTGAGCTTAGGTGAGAGCACTGTGGCCACATGCAAAAGGCAGCAGTTGGAGCATGCGCAGCAGCCACAGCAAGAGGTGTGGGCTACTGGAGAGACCACTGAGCACCAGGGCCTTGCAGCTGCAAGTTTTCCCCACAACTTCCCTGCAACCCTGAGGGCCACGGATAGAGGAATGAGGATGGGGGAAACCAAGTAGGTGGAGTAGAGACAGAGTTGGCCATTCGTGATTTTCTAAGGGATCAGGTTATCACATCCATTCTGTAAAGGAGTGAGAATCCAGTTATCTTCAAACTGTACAGGTTGCAACCCTACCAGGGCTTTGAGTATCCCTAAGAGAATAACCTCATGAAAAGATAAATCCTGCAAAATGTTTTCCTTGAACAGTGTATCACTTTTATAGAGAAAGGCTGGAGGTTGGAGGCCATGGACTCCTCCCATGTTGCATCAACTCTATCTACTGTGCAAAGTCACTCTGAAGCCAACTGCAAAGTCATTGCAATGGGTAGATGTTCAGTAGAGGTTTGCCATTTGCCATTTATTTTGGCAATTTTATTGTCCACAGATCCTGTGGGGTTGCATCACTGAATGGTGTTTTGTTTCAGAAAGGACAGGCTAAGTCAGAGACTAGATATTCTGGACCAGAGAGACTGTTGTACCAAAAGCTACTGACAGATGGGAGATGACAAATGCAAGGTCCCTAAATGGTCTGGTAAGCTGAGTTAAAGATATACCCCGCACAGGTCTTTCCTAGCCCGAGTTTTCACTTATGCTAAAGTCTCCTAGATTTCAAGATAAAAGAAATTCTTGTAACATACCACATTTTCACTTTGATGGTGTCTTAGTACAGCACCTCAGTCCCTGCCTCTTGTCAAATAAAAGCCTGGGAATATCCTGCTACATACTCCTGGTGCAGCTGGTGACTGATGGGGATTGATGAGGAATAAGTGAGGCAGGGGGCAAGGGAAGGTGTCTGTAGATTGGTTCTTCTAAAAATCTCTAAGAACACAACTCAGGTCTGCAATTCCACATTCACAGCCACTGAAAACACATATGGATACAGAATCTTTATGGTACATAATCAGGGAGAATAGCAGTTGGCTTTTTATGGTTTCTCCCATATGGAATTCTAAGGGGCAATGGATCAATGGATCTTTGTACTACACTGAGATGAGAGAGAGACAGATAGAAAGACAGCCTGCTCATTCTACTCCTTCTATGGATCTTCACAGAAGAGTCTCTCCTAGCCCCCAGGTTCTGGTGGAGAGTAGAAAAAAAAGAAAAGAAGAGTAGAGACCCAAACAAATCAGTGTACCCAGGCAGGCCAGACAAAGGGCAGCTCTTCCAGAAAAGTCCCTGCTGCTCTGGTTTTCACTGAGACATCCCTCCCAACACCAGGATCGTCTCTAGCACAATGAGAGGACTTTCAGTCAGCTGAACTGCACTGTTTTCTGGTCCTGTCTATATGAATCTGAGACTTTCCACTCAACAGTTATGGATGGATCAGTGAGATCCAGGTAGACACTTTGAGAGACAGGATACCTCCAGGGTGTTTTTCCTGCTGTGGCTGATGAGAGAAGCTGGAGCTGAGCTTTTCTCTGCGTTGATTCCCCAGGGTCAGGGGATTGCTCAGATACCCCAGGGACAAGCAGGAAACAACACCAACTCTGAGCATTTGGAACTTGTTCGGGGGAGCCCATGGATGTGGTAAGAGAAGGCACAAACAGGCTTCCAATGTCCAGGCCCAGGCCTGCAGCCTTGATCGTGCTGCTCAGAGTTGCTCTCAGTTGTCCACTGCTCAATTCCAATGCCTCCTCCACTCCTGGGCAACTGTGTTTCCTGTTCAACCCCTCTTATTCCCTCCCCTAGTTTGTCCGGAGGATTTAATCTCCCCTCTGAAATCTGTTTTGTTTGCCAAGAATAGAATCTCTTATTTCAAATACAGCATTTTACTTTTTTTCTAATGCAATTGTCACTTTGACCATGCACCCACTATGCTATGCTCTTCTGAATGCTAAGCCTCTCCCATGCAGCAGTGATAATGAAAAGCAATGTCCACTGCGTTGTTTCTCACCAGGAGAACAGCAGGACATTCTGGATATCAGCATGGAGTTTCATTTGGTTCTGAGTCTAGACAATCAAGTTTTATGACCTTTCACCTTGTGATCTAATGCCGAAATATGGGAAGATCTGAATAAACTGAAAATGAACCCTATAGACAATAGAAACCTACAGAAAATGGACACCCTTCCTACTGGTACCTTCCATCTTGGTCACTGGGAAGATCTGGGGGCATATCACACCAGTAGCTCGATGAAATCCTTATCTTCTCTCCTACTGCCGCCCCCAGGATTGGACTCCATCATGGCTCTGCTGACATCTCCTTGGACAGAATCCATTGCAGCGAAAAGGGGTCCTCACATGAAGCGTAGCCATAGGCTTTTGTGTTTGGTCAAGTCTCTTGAAGATCACAAGATTTATCCTGCCATTGAATGGTCTTTATTGGGGAGGCAGGAAAAAAAAGCCTCCTCACTGGTAGAATAAAGTCATGGATGGACTTGCAACTCATTCTTCTTGTTTCGAGAAGACTGCCTTCTTTTTAGCCACCCTGTGTGATCCTTTGTCCAGCTTTCATTTGCACATAAGTAGCTAGGGACTATGGAAATTGATGAGGCTAGTTTACAACAGCCTTAGATGTCAGCTGTGTCCAACCAATCATGAAGATGCGCAGTAAATGTAGAAAGGAGATGGGAATGAGGTAGGGCAGATATTGAGACAATTTCTGAGACTAGTCCAGGTGGCAGGAACACAATCCGGGAAGCAACGGAAATTACTCTTTTCTTCCAGCACTCTTTGGGAATCAGGCTCATGGCAACATCTTATTAGGTGGCCAAGAAGAGAATGAATAATGAAAAGCAGAGAGGGCTTCTGGTTCTCCAACACCAGGTGTGACCAAACCAGTGTGGGCACAGAAACAGTCAGATCTGCAGAGAGAGTCAGAAGACAAGGGGAACTGAGCAATCATTCATGTCTCAGAAGAAGACCTGGGCACAAGCCTTAGAGAATGTAGTGGCTGAATATCTTAGATCTGTCCTTGAGTGAAAGGCTTCATGCTGCTGTTTGTCATGTGAAGTAGTGGCAGAAGCATCATCTTTTTTGACAAACAAGTAGGTCTCACTGTTCTATCCTCCATGAGGCTCCCAGCAGCACATGTGTCCTGAAGGGGAGTCTAAATGACCCCCTCTTGGCATTTCCCAAGAGCATTCTTACCCACATATACTCCTCCAACACTTTCAAAGGTGTAGCTTCCAATCATTTTCTTCAAGGGAAGAAATATTTCCTGACATCTACCTTGGTTGCAACATAATCAGTCCCTTTGGCAGGTATCCCAAGATGCAGATCCTGAGGATAGGAGGAGAGGAGGCCACGTCTCTGGTGTGGGATGAGGGTTATCTCGAGACCTGGGTGATACTCTCATTTGCAGATGCCAAGCCAAGGCTGCCTTCTGTGAACTGTCCAACATCTCTTTCTCAAGGATCAACACCAAACACGCCATTGAGAGTCCCTCCTATTGGAAAACCCAAAAGGCCATACTCTGGGCCGGCCCAGTGTCAGTCTTTTTCCAGGGCCTTCTGGCTGAGGTGATTTCCATACCTGGAGTTAATCACTTCATATTTGCCGACTCAATTATCTGCTTTCAGGACTGCATTACCCTAAAGCAGTCAGAATAAAGTACCCTGCCTTGGGCTAGACAAGAAGTAGAACGAGATGGGGTGGGATGTCAAGGGAAGGATGAACAGCTCAGGGTTCCAGATGGCATGACTACCTTGGAAGCCAGCTTTCCCTCAGAGAACTCCCAGAGGTGTGACCTCTGACAACTGGTATACCTTTCCACGTTTTGCTCTACCCAACTGTGAAATAGCCAGATAAAACACTTACCTCCATGAAGGGGAAAGGGGCCCATGGGCCACTCTGCAAGTGAAAAACCTGCCAAGCACTCCACGGAGGTTGGGAGATGCAGCAGAAGACTGTGAAAGCATCATTGCAACCCGGGATCCAGCCCCCATCCCAAACCCTCCCCCATTCAATCCAGGCTAGAGAGAGAGGAGGGTAGAAGGAGAAGAAGGCAGGGAAGGGGCACAGGCATGCATCGCATGCATTCCTTTCTTTATCTTCTCCTCCCCATCCACCAAGGAGTTGGCACATTTACAGGTGACTCTGTGTGGGGTGGGAAATGGGGCGGGGGTGGGCGGTGGAAGAGGAAGTGCAAGGGACACTGGTAATCAGATGATTGGGACACAAGGCGGAAGTAACTCAGCAGGGTCATGAGGAGTCGGGGCTGCACTGTGCCCAGGAGGTGAACAAGGAGGACTTGGAAATAAGCTAAGGCTAAGAAGGCAGAGATGATACCGAAACAGGGTGAGAGCGAGAATACAGGAGGGAAAAGAATAAAAAAAGTCCATTGGTCCAAAGGAGGAAGGAAGAAAAAGAAAAAAAAGGGGGGAGGGGAGAAAAAAATAGAGCTGCTTTTTGTTCTTGTTGCTTTACAGCCTGTTTAGATTTTTTTCTTTTTGTTTTGTTTGTTCTTTTTTTTTTAAAGAATCTCACACCTGATATTCCACGTTCCATCCATTTCGGTTCACCAAGGACAATGAAGAAATTCTCTTGCCTTTCGTATTCCTCCTCATCTACTATTTTAACCCTTACGGTTTTCCTGTAGGGACAACAAGAAAGAAAGTGTCGACTGGGTCGGTAGGTTGGTTGGTCACCCGGAGCACAGCCTTTAAAATCATTCCCCATCACTCTTGGCACATGCAGCCCGCCATGGTGCCTTTTGACAGGACTTGGTGGATTATATTGTTCTTATGTCAAAAATTGTCTTAGCTTTTCTTATCTCCTTGGTCAGAGTTGTCCTTACAAGTGAGAGGGAAAGGGAGTCAGAAGGCAAGGGAAAGTGGGCAAAGGAAGGGATCCATGAGGATGGGAGGGAAATGGGGAGGAAGAAGGGGGGTGATGATGGGGAGGAGTCATTTTCGATCCTGCTGATGGTTAGTACAAAGTGAGCTGGGCAGCACATTCCATTGGGTGTCACATGGTAACTGGCATTTCTTTGGAGAGTAAGTGAACGGCTGGCCTATGGGGGTGGCCCAGGGCTCTTCTACAACAGAGAATGTCAATAGTATCTAGCTAGGGGCTTGTTTCCCTTCCTTGAGTCTATACCCACTTCATATGTGAGCCTCATAAAGAAAATCTTAAAAGGAAAGTATTTTTGAGAAAGGGAAATCAGAGAGAAAGAGAAAGGAAGGAAGGAAGGCAGAATTCTATCATCTTCTTCATTTTTTACCTTGTAAGGGCTTTAGTGGTGGGAAGTAAAATAAATATGTATTAACCACAATATGATGTGGGACTCCTTTAATAGTTACAGCTGATGCACTGCTGAAAAGTGTGATGAAAATGACATAAATCATCAATTCTAAATCATCTTTGTACCTCTATCACATGGGGGTGATGTGTCTCAAAGCTGACTTCCTTAAATGCTGATTATTAGGAATCAGGGAGACATGGTGATAGAGGTTTCTGCTCATTTCTGGGTATCTCAACAAAGCACGTGCTTAGTCACTCAGTCATGTCCGACTCTTTGCAACCACATGGGCTGTAGCCTGCAAGGCTCCTCTGTCCATAGGGATTCTCCAGGCAAGAATACTGGAGTGGGTTGCCATGCCCTCCTCCAGGGGATCTTCCCAACCTAGGGATCGAACCCAGGTCTCCCGCATTGCAGGCAGATTCCCTACCATCTGAGCTACCAGGGAAGCCAAAGAATACTGGATTGGGTAGCCTATCTCTTCTCTAGGGGAATCTTCCTGACCCAGGGATTGAACCAGGGTCTCCAACACTGCAGGCAGATTCTTTACCAGCTGAGCTACCAGGGAAGCCCCAACAAAGCATAGTATCTATTAAAACCAAATCATACAGGAAAGCAAAGTTTCCATGAAAATCACTTCCTTTCACGGACTGGCCTGAGGCTGGTTCAGATCCACTGTCATTGGAGAGGTTGCCATGTGGGCCTGGATCTCTCTGTGCGGCTTCTCCTGGTCCTTCACGGAACCACAGTGGTATCAAGAAGTCCTAATAGTGAGCCCTAATTGTTATTTTCTGCTTTTTATCTTGCATTTTTTTTGTTTTGCCTGGGACCTAAATGCTCTCTAAAGGGTAAAATGTGCTAACTAATAATAGTGTAAAAAGTTTCATTAGAACCTCTGATGTTCCTGTTCCATTCTGAAGACAGGCTTGGCTTCGTCATCTATACAGTGGTAGGCTGATCTAACGTGCTTTGCTGGGCACAGGACTTGCTGTGCATTTGTGGTGTGTGGGTTTATGTGCGCTTGTGTGTGACCTTTTGAGCACTTTCTGGACATCCTTCCACACCTTGCTCAGTGCACCAAAGACAAATATCACTGATTGTCAAGAGGCATTTTCTGGGACTCTCTCTCACCCTAGATGTGGTACCCTAGGGCTGTCTGCAGGACATGAGCCTGGCCTGTTTTTCCACTGCAGGGATTCTGCTGGGGGATGGGAAGGAGGTGCTTGCTCTGTGATCCTGGGCACGGTCTGGAGGGACATGATTGATGACTCTGCCCTCCTGCACAGTATGATCCATCCAAAAAAAGGATTTTCTGTCTTGTCTCTTGGAGGCTGGGGTATATGGGGCCACTTAAGTCGAAGCAGAAGCTCCGCCCACTCTGAGAAGTCCTGTGACTTCTTGGGAGAGCCTCCCCTCAGGTCAGAATCCTCCTCCCATCTTCTAACTGTCTTCACACCTAGATGCCCTTCACAGGGAAAGCAGAATATGACAGGCAGTTCTTTGATCTAGACCTAGAATGCAAACCTGTACTTTCAGCTCAATCAAGGTCAGGGAGAGAAAAATACCCTTGCTCACAGGGATATGGCAGTTAAGCGGCTCTCACCTAAGGCCTGCCTTGAGGAATGGATGAACCACAAATAGAACCCAAATCCAAATATATTGATCGTTCGTACCCAGGGACTACCAGCTTAGCCCTGAGAAGAGCTGCCCCGTGGACCTCGGCTAAGAGCTGGGCCAGCGTTCCAGGGCTGCCCTTCTGCCTGGAGCTGCGCTATCTTTTCCTTCCTTGCGCCCTAAACCACTCGGGAGGAGCAGAGAGCCTCATGTATGATACTCTCAGGGCTGGGGCTAGTGCTCTCTCTCTCTCTTTTTTCCCCCATATCCACCTCCTCATCCCACAAAAGTTACCACTGGCTCATCCCTCTAATGATACCATGTGACAGGCTGGCAGGTGTTAGGACAGAGCTAGGTGCAGAGAGAGGAGAGGGAGACAGGAAAAGAGAAGACAAGAAAGGAAACAGAGACAGTGAACCAGAGAGGCAGAAGAAGGGGAAAGAGAAGGCGACAAATGGGTAGGAGGAAAGAGGAAACCGAAGAGGAGAGGAGAGTGTTAACATTAGTGTGGCGGACGGGGTACTACACCTTTCTGAAAACTCATATCCACCATGCGGGGGCCCATCATCTCAATGAAGTAATTCTTGCTTTTCTCATACGCCTCACCATCAATTACCTTGATGTGAACTGTTTTGCTGTGAATGGAAAAATAAGGATTATAAGCAAGGAGTAGACTGGGGGCGAGCCAGCCAGAGAAGAAACGGGAAGAGAAAGAAACAGGGAAAAGATCCAGAAAGGTCAAAAATCTGCCCCAACACCATAGAAGCACAGAGGACAGTGGTCGCCCCAGGCCACCTTCCAGCCCCACTGGACTCTTCCCAGGCTTTGAGTGGCTTCATGGCATTATTAGACTGGAAGATGCTCAGGGTTTGCAGTCAAAGGATCTAGGTTTTAATCCTGTATTTGCTATGTGACCTTGGATGAATAATTTCACTGCTACACAAACAGGCTGAATAACACTAACATCATCCCAGGGCAAACGTGAGAGCTGTGAAATATACATATAAAGGTTCAGACATTTAGGTTCTTCTAGAGCATTTCCTTCCTTATTCTGTCTTGCTTTTAGAGCAAGAGAGAATTTAAAAAAAAAATTTTTTTTTCTTTTGAAATCAGCTGATACTGACTTGAAAGGTTTATTTTATAGAAAGGGCAGAAAGAGCAGTGTGTGGGGGGATGCTGCTGGCCCGTGGGAGTTTTGCCTGGAACCGGTCCCTTTCTCTGTGTTTGTGACTATCACAGGGAAGCCTGGAGGGCTGTTTGGCTCAAGTCACACCTTCTGGTAATTCACAGCAGTCGTCAAACACTACCGACCAGATCTGCAAATGAGCTTCTGTTGTCAGAGGAACACACTGACTGGATCACAGGAACTCTGACTCTCTGAATTACGATTAATTCATAAATCCTACAGCGATCTTGTGATGAGCACAATTAAGTTATTTTTTGTGCTAAAAGGAGTTGCTCTGTTAAACACTGAAAAACAGAAACCAATTTCAGGAACCCTGTTTTGCATATTTCTTTACTTTAAAAAACACATATTACCAGGAGCTTCAAAAACAGAGGCAGTGCTGAGTCTCTCCCAGGCTGTGCTTGACAAGGGGGACGTTTCTGGATCAGACCCCAGATACTAAGGGGGAGAGACATTGCGGGATGAGGGTGGGCATGGAGCTGAGTCTCCCCTCTGTGGTGGGAGAGAAGGGGCCACACGGAGTCCTGCTCAGCACCCCAGGGCATTGCCTTTTCCCACCCGGGTGCCCCGAGGCCTGCCCTTTGTGGAGGAGACGGAGGCCTTCAGCTTCACCCTTTATTATTTAGCATAAAGTAGGAATATGGCTACACTGTGACTTGGAACAACCTCTCTTCTCTCCTGTGCTTTTCCAAGTCACTGTCAGAACTCTGCATGTCTACAGAGCTTCCACCGGCCACACTGTCGATCTTGTAGAACCAGATGTCGGTCCATTGCTCCTGAAGTGAATGTAATAGCAGTTACTAACGCACCCAGCCACTGCCACCCCACTGCTTCAAAAACAGGCTCCAAACCCTCATCACTTGTCACACCCACCCCAGTCGCAGTGGGTTTGTATCAGAGACAGTGACCTGGAGTCAAACCCCGGCCCGCCTCTCAGTTAGCTGGGTGACCTCAGGCGACTTGCTAGAGCTCGCCAAGTCTCATTTGTAAAGTGGAATACTATTACTTTTTCACAGTGTTCTTAACTGAGATAATGCATGCAAAGCACTTGGCAGGTTGTGCGTTCCCTAGTAAATGCTTAATAAATAGCCACTATCATCACCAAGAGGAATATAACCCCAGTTTGGTGCATCAAGAGTAATATGTAAAGAAATCTCATCTCCAGTTATTGAAGCAGAGGATACACGGGAAGTCAAGAAATAGAACTGATGACCCAAGAGGCAGCACAGGCTGGAAATATAAGTCAGGTCCAGGAGGAATTGGACAGAACAGGATCGTCACTGCCAGATGGGTTCTTAGAGGGGCTTGGAACGTTCAAGGCGGTAGCATGGACAGCGACTCTCACATGCTCCCCCAATCGGGCTTTGCGTCCCTGCCAGTGACAAGTTGTGGGCTGGACAGACCCCGTGTCAGGAACACAGCCTGCCCTGTGCTTGTTTGATTTTCAGTGAACGGAGAAATAGAATGAGACAAGTCACTGACACCTTAGTTGCAGACAGAGAAATGAGGCCAGACAACAAGTCGTAGCAAGAGAAATCTGGCTGAGCGAGGA